GACCTTGCAGTAACAGTTAATTCAGTGTTAACCTAGGACCGCCACCAGAGCTAAGAAATATATGTATCCTCTCTGACTGACCTACAAAATCTTAAAAGATATGATTAGAAATGGCTCTCATTCATAATGCATGGGCGGCCTTATCGACGGAAATACTCTGAAGTAATGTTCATAATAAATTATTTTTGATTAGAGTATTTAGAAAATGTACATTAGGATTTAATATTAAATAAATACCTCAAATCTTTACTTTAAAGTCTCAGACTATATATTTTGTTACATCACTGTTCATTTGAAAGGGGTACAATTTTAAAAGGCCCATCTTTTCAGTATCAGTTTTGAAGGAATAAGATCTGAAATCAGAATATTAGTTTTTATTACCAGCACATCTGTGGAGAATGTGACTTTCCTCAACAGGAAAGGGTGCATTCAAGACTGAAACCCAAACATAGGCCAGCAAATTACTTTTCATATGAAGCAAGTTACTTACTTTTACAAAATGAGAACATTATGTATACATTAGATATAAAGGCATACCTGGGTTTTTTCCTTCTAATTCACTCTGCTCTTGAAATTAAAAAAAAGTTATAAAAGAAGTAGTTAATCGAGACAGAGTTGAGTTGCTAGTTAGTGATGGATGTCCCTGCATTTCCAGGAAACTGAAGTGGGTAAGACTTGTTTTCTTCCAAGTATATTCTTCACCTTTTTATCTCTTTATCATTGGCTTAATCTAGGTTGGCAACACAATGAACATCTCTTTCAAAGTTAGATGGCTCGTTCTGCCTTCCTCGGCCTATGTTCTCAATGCTTAGTCCTTCTTGACTAGAGATCTTTTCTGATACCCATACCCCAGTGAATAAAATGGCCTAAAGAAGACTTTAAATGCAGCAGAATAGTACACTAATTAAAACTAAATTCGATTCATTTAGTCAACAAGGAACTAGTATCTAGAATATATGAGCCAAAATCAAACCATTGCTATTGACTCTATTTCAGAGGATTTCCAAATATGGTAAATCTTTACAGAAGTAGATTACCATATCTTTTTCTTGTGGAGCTGTGGTTTCAAACTGCTGACCTTTTAATTAGCAGTCAAGTAACTTGGATTGCTCTACCAGGGCTTCTTAGAATGTACAGAGCTCGCTCACAACTCTGGTTAATAAACAAGCAATAGCATCAGAAAATGTGCCCACGATATGAATCAGACTTTACCAAAGAGGGTTTACAGACGTCAGGTGTCATACATTAAAAGATTCTCAACATTAGCTTTTAAAGAAATCAAATTACAACCAAAATGAGATTTTTACCAAAGATTTAGATGTCATTCATTGGTTAATGTTTAAACAGACACATTTATACCCAACTCTATTAACTTAGCAATAATTACATAATAACGTGAATGTATAACAGTTGACCTACACGTGTGGTAATTTATATAGACAAATGCATACACAAATAAGTAAAACAGAGGCGTCTGGATTAGTGCACTAACATTTTGGTCATTATACTGCTATTTTGCAAGATGTTACCATTGGAGGAACTGGTTGAAAGTACAAAGCATCTTTTCTTAAAATTGCATGGAAACGTACAATTACTAAAATGTCTAAAAACAAAACAGTAAACCTCATTTTGTATTCAGAATTATGACCAGCCATATTTGTGAATGTGCAGTTAAGTAAAATGAAAGCAATACTATGTTTCAATAATATAGTAGTTCCAATATTTCAAGAGATGTTTGAAGTTTGAATATTAACTCCCTTTTCATTATGAAATCTCTAGCAAAACACTAAATTACAATTTAGTTCCCTTGCAATCAAATATTTGCCTTTATAAACAATTCAAAACTCCTAAGTCTTTTATCGTAGTGAATTCAAGTTTCTAAAATTAATATTCAAAAATTTTTTTTCAATTTCACTTTAATAAGTAGAGTTGGAAGCTTTTCAGTACTGGAAGCCTGACTTCTCTCTTTCTGGAAGGAATAAAGTTATTTCAGGGTTTTAGGAGTCACATTAGTTAAGTCTCAAAGCTGTTAATGTTTTATTTTTCAAAGATTCTTGCGAGCTCTATGGCAAACTGATAATATTGTCTATATAGTCACATAATTAAAAGAGGGAACAAAGTCAAGTTTCTGACTTCAAAAAGTTATCTTAGAACTAACTACATGCTTTCAGAACTTAAGACTCAGCAGAAATAGTACAAATTAAATATCTATGATTTCAGTATTCTAGTTATTTGATATGTTTAACTCTAGAATCTTTACGAGCCATCATATGGAAAGAAAATATTAACATAGCCATTTCCTCTCAGAAAGGTGATATTCCTTTTGGTTAGAAATCTGTTGTGAAAATTATAGATTAACCTGCATGCCCTTTCATTCATTTCCAGTAGGCAAGAAGAATGGAGAACTGCAAAAGGAGAAGAAGAAGTAAGAATTTATAGGTCAGAAGAAAAAAGGAAACACTTTACTATCCCAAAAGAGAATAAAATACTCACTGTCTCAAAGGTAAATAATCTCTCTGTTTAATAATCTGTTCTGTTGTCATTATAAATTTTAAATTCTAGATTGCTGCCTTTTTAGCTTAACTTTTCCAAAATGCTAATACCTAAGTAGGAATTAAGTCTTATTAATAGCATTAAAATCCTAAGCAAGATCTGTAACTGTAGGGTCAGTAGTTCGAAACCACTCACACTTCTTCTCTAAGAGAAAGATGAAGGTTTGTACTCCTGCACAGAATTCAATCTGGGAAATCCACAGGCAGTTTTATTCTGTCCTATGGGATCACTAGAACCCCTGGTGGTGTAGTGGTTATACTTTGTGCTGCAATCTGCAGTTTGAAACCACCAGGTGCTTCTTAGGAGAAAGATGCAGCTTTCTACTCCTATAAAGAGTTACCATCATGGAAAACCACAGGGGCAGTTCTACCCTGTTCTGTAGGGTCACCATGAGTCAGAATTGACTCCATGTGACAGTGAATGGGATCACTCTGAATACTACTGTATATATTCATGGATAAGCCGAGTTTTTCGGCACATTTTTAATGCAGTTTGTGGTAAAATTAGGTGCCTCGGCTGTTGTTTGGGTCAGCTTATACTTCAGTGTATATAGTAATTGACTTAATGGCAGCAAATGAGTATGAGCCATTGATTTTACATTCTAAAACAGTTTTTTGCTTTTTAGCATTTTTTTGCTGCTTTATATCTCCTTGGTTTTGTAGATGATCAAGTCAGTACCACTGTTAAAAATAATAGTTCTCATTTTCTTCATAGAGAGGTAAATTTATGTGCTATTTTGTCCTGTTGGTTTCTCTGTCATTCTAACTCCGGAAAACTTAGGTGTGATGCATTTCAATTGGTCATGCTCTGATCATGGAAAGATGTATGTATTTCTCCTATATAAGCTTGAAAGTGTCAGAGCCTGAGATTCTGAAATTGAATAGATCTGTTTGGAACCTCCTTTCAGGTCTAAGTCACCATCTAAGAAGTGACCTAAGTCAAGAAAACAAAACTAGCTGGATTTTATGCCCCTTGCTCTTTCTACTTGAGTTCTAAAACAACCTAAATTAATCTTCTTGTGTAGGATTTCCTTTCTTTTTTTTTTTAATGACCTGATTCATTAAAGGGATTAAGCCATTCTATATTATGTTTTCCTTTACTGGGTGTATCATACACTGCACGGGACAGGATCATAAAAGTGAGCTTCGTTCTCAAACTTTGTTGTTGGTTAATTGTTGGGGTTTTTGGTTCTGTTTTGGTTCCCTCAATGGTATCTGGAAAGCACATAACTTTTTATTTTTTTACTTAGAATCCAAGTATGCCAGAATATGAACACTTGTAAGATGGGTCTTCAGAATATTCATCGAAAAAATTCATTGTATTTTTATTGCACTCTTTCATGAACTTTTTGAAGCATCTTTACATAGTGATAGTGCGGTTGATAGTCACAATGACCTCACTTAAGGTTGCAGAATGAAGGATGGGTCAACAGGGAAAACAGAGGTTTCATGCTCTCTACAAGTTACAACAATGTGCAATACATTCTATTGCCTGGGACATGAGTCGACAAGCTTTTGAGCCGAAAGCCATATTTGAGAGCCATAAATACATTTTTAAAAATCAGGAAATTTTAAAGTAACATCATAAACGAAACTATGGTTTTGTTTTCAATTTTACTTCAGAACCACGTGTACATATGGAAAGAACCACTATGGCTCTTGAGCTGCAGTTTACCGACCCCTGGTCTAGAACAGTTTCCCAAACTTACTTGTTGCTTCCTGGTCCCCCCTTTTCAGAAAAAGCATTACTCAGTGGCCCCCTGGCAATTAAAAACATTTGGACTATAGCCCATAATCTAGAATAAAATGTAGGTGTCTTGTTTTTTGTGTGTGGAAAAATTAAGAAGGACAACTATTAGGTAGCAACAGGACTTGCAATTTATCCTGAAGAAACTATGGATATAGTGTTTAAAAATGATAATTTTTTAGGACTAAATATTAATACTGTTGTTAAGATATTTGTACCAATTTTTATGCCATGGATTTGAGTAAGTAAAAATATGTTAAGTGAAAGAGACAAGTTGACCAAATATTTTTGAGTAATTGTTAAAACCTCTATTTACTCAAAGCTACCACAGTATATTTGTGCATGGGAGTCCAGTGTTACTTTTCTTCCCAATTTAATGGTAATTATTTTTTTAATGCATTACTAATTGATTCTTCCTTGAAGTATGTGATTTCCTTATTGATTTTGAGATTTTTTTTTCTTTTATAATTATATTTCATTGGTATCTTGAAATAGATGATAAACTAGTTTCTCTTTATGATTGTTGGTTCTATTCTCACTTGTTGCAGGAAACATTTTATTATATTTATATTCAGCTAAAGAGAACCAGCAAAGTAGCTGGTGTACTTCGCCTCGTAGTAACAGAGTACTTATTTTTATCACACTTTGGTTTTTAATTTGCATTTGCAGCCAATACTCTTACGTGATGTCTGTAGGTTTGGAATTGGAACAGGAAAATTTTGATGTTTGACTTGGTCTGTTATCAGTTAATTAGGGAACACAATTTTTTTCTTATTAGAATTTACCATTCAGCAGGTAAATTTTAGAATATCACAATGCTCTGAAGTAATTTGATGTTAAATATTTAAGGTGGTCTACAGTCTAGTTCATCTATATAACAATGAACTCAAACTAAAAATAGAAAACCTCTTTAACACACTTTAATAAATTCTATTTACTTGGTTTCAGAATCATGCTCATGAGCATTTCCTAGATCTTGGAGAATCCAAAAAGCAACAGGCAAATCAACATAATTACCGTACGAGGTCTGCGTTGGAAGAGCCTCCTAGACCCTCAGAAGAGATCGAAAATGGCACTAGCTCTTCAGATGTAAGCTCTCAGCTTCATGGGCATACCTTCCTTTTCTTTTTCCAATTTTACTCTTTCAGAAACAAAGGAGCAGTTCTACCCTGCTGTGTCAGGTTGCCATGAGTAGAATTGACTTGATGGTAGTGAATTTGGCTTGGTTTCATTCTTTACATCCATGATACATTTATATTAGTGGTCTGAGGTTCAAAGATGTTAAATTTTACAGCCCGCTATTAAATAATATAGGAGAGCTTAAACCCAGGTTCCTTTTACACTAAAGCCATGCTTTTAAATTTTATTTCATTTTCTTAAATTCCCTAATTATATTTCTTATATTTAAAGTGAATTGCAGTAAACAAATAATGCTCTAAAGAAAGGCTTTGGACTAGACCCCATTAAAACCTGTTAATGATCTTTTGTGGCTTTTTTCTGGTCCATGTAACCTTGCATTAACATAGCACAAAAACAAATAAACTTAATATCAAATATCTGTTATAGTAACTAGGGAGCAAGACAGTTGGTGATAATAAAGCCAAGCTTTAAAAACCATACTGCTAAGTTTTTCTCTAGAATTAATAATACTCAATATGCATTTGAAATTATCCTTAATCTTTTTACTAATTTATGGTATTCTTAATTTTTCCCCAACAGTTTCACTGGAACATAATTTTTTAAAATCATTTTATTGGGGGCTCTTACAACTCTTATTACAATCCATACATCAGTTGTATCTGACAAATTTGTATATATATTCCATCGTTCTTTTGTAGGCATTTACTTTCCATTGAGCCCTTGGGATTAGCTCCTCCTCTTTCCGGCCCCCACCCCAACCCTTGTGGCCCCTTGATAGATTGTAGATTTTTAATTATTTTCAAAACTCACACCGACACGGTCTCCCTTCCCCTCTGGTTTCTATTGTTCTCCCCCCTGGATTGGGGGTATGTGGTTATGTGCCATTCCTTGTGATCCGTGCTCCCCTCCCTCTCCATGTCTTCCCCCTCCCCTACCCTCTACCCTTTTGTTATCTCTATTCCCATTCTTGTGAGTTTTATCTCTTGTGCAATCTAATTTTTGTAGTCTTCCTCTTGCATAATTATTTCTACAGGTATTTTCCTTAATAAGTTTTATATTTCTTTAGCAAAGGGAATCAATTTGCAATCTTAAGTCGTACTCATTACTTTAAACCAGTGGTTCTCAATCTGTGGGTCGTGATCCCTTTGGGTGGGTGGGTGTCGAATGACCCTTTCATAGGGGTCGCCTGGTTCATAACACTAGCAAAATTACGTTATGAAGTAGCAGTGAAAATAATTTTTATGGTTGGGGTTCACCACAACATGAGGAAGTGTATTTAAGGATTGCATTACTTAGCCTAACCGCACCCTCCAGGTTGTAGAATTGGTGATTTTATGGACTGGCTCTTAAATACTGTTGAACTTCAAAATGTTGGACATATAT